CTGGTACGATATTCAGAAAAATACTTATGGCCTAGCTAAAATAAAACGACTAATTTTATCTTACCACTTGATCCACTTGTTGCAACTGGCACCGTTGTGGTCGTCACAGCTATCGTTGTGGTTGGTAGCGTATTTGAAACTGTTGGCTGAAATGCTTTGTCTAACCCTCTTGCTAAATGGAAATTACACATACAGCCACTGTAGTGGTACTAATCGTTGGCGCAGAAGTAGTTATTTTTGTTGATAAGAAGTCAGTGATGATTGTAGGAGTTTTCGTCGAAGTCATAGTGAAGGTACCAGCAGTTGTAGTACCACTGATATTCCAGGGTGGTGGGATTTTGACGGCTGAGCAGGGACAATCAGAGAATATATCAGAAAATGAAAGGAAGACGAGAACCTACTTGTAGAGACAATAGGATAATTTGTGTTTCTGCCCGCTGTTGTACTGGTTTTAGGGATTCCAATGGTTGTTGAGATAGTAGAAGTCGCGCTTGTAGTGCTATTCCATTTGGGAGTAGCTGCAAAAAACATGCAGTTTACGCAATAATTCCACCAGTACCAGATGATGTACCTGTGTGAGTGGTCGGACTGGTAGCGCTCGTTGCAGAACTTGTGGATCTTGTTGGCGAACTTGTTGTAGTTGCAGTCGTGGTAGTGCTCCGCAAGGGAATACCTTTAAGAGTTTATTAATTTTCACAGGATTGATGAAAGGAGATATGAAGTTACTTATTAGGGTAGTACTTGTAACTGCATATGTTGTGGTTGACGTAATGGTGCTTGCTTTTGTAGCCGATGTGATGTTGTCCTCTGAAGCTGTTGGGGATCCAGATTCGTTAGCTGTGGCTTCTTCTACAGGTGTTGTGGTCATCTGATGGGTAGACTCGTTCTCTGCTGATGAGGTTGCAGTGCTGATCTGTGATTCTGAGGCTCCGTTATGCGTGCTTGACTCAGTAGAAGTTTTGGTCTGAGTAGATTGTGTTGGCTGCTCAGATTGATTCTCT